CAGTTCTGCATATTTGGCCTAAACTTTTGGAAAACCTTTTCTCTCATAATTTGACCAAGATGTTCTACTTTGAGCAGGAGGTTGGACTAGACACCTTCAAAAGTCTTGTCCAGCCTAAGTCTTTGTATGATTCTGTGGTACAGCTAATGACTTTTGTGGCAAGCCAAGGAAGGAACCAGCCATTTTGATGTCACCTTAGTAGCATGTCTCTCTTTTTGGGGGAGCAGAGAGGTAGAAAAGAAAGTGTATCGTGTATACACCAAGCATGTGCTTACACATTTTCAACAGTATGAGACTTTTTCTTACTAACAGCCTGCCTTTCTTTGACAGTTCTCTGTGAGAAATATTCTTAAAATTGGAACATAATATTGAGCTAAAAATGCTGATGTATACAGTATTGTGTCATGTGTTCGGCCAATGTCATAGAAACTTTGTAGACTGAGAGGACAAGAGTAGCATGGTAGATTTCTGCAGCTTTCATTCCCCCTAAGCAAGAATATATTTGCTACCTATAGAACTCTACAAAGTCTTTATAATCATGGACAGGCTTTTACCAAAACAAACAAATCAGAAAAACAAATCAGGTCAAATTTTTTTGGGGGGGGTTATTATTTTGACTGAAGGATAGCTACCTGGTAAGGTTGAAATTCCACGTTTACTCATGTAAAAGTAAATATTCTTACTGAAAACCATTTTGACCTAGAAATGGTAAAGACTGCGGAACAATGAAGAAAGTCTTTAACTGTTGTGCTTTTAGTTATACTTGACGGTTCTGATCTAAACATTTCATGATACCTGACAGGCATGTTCTTTAAAAATGTTCTTAGTTCTGAGGCAGACAATTTAAAAAAAATAGTTTAGTTCCTAAAACAATCTTGAGTTCAAGTAAAAATGGTAAATTCACATGTCCATGAATTTGATCTATTCTATGAATTAATTCCTTACTACTAGTATATCATAATTGATGAGTCTCCATAGGGTATGAAAAATATACAGAACTAAGGGTTTATTTCTAAGTGAAGTAAGAAACAAGGTAGATTGATAACAGCCCAATTGACTGTATTGTTTATTCATAAAACATGGAGGATATTTACACTTCTGTTTCCATTTATAAACTTGTCATATCTTACGCAAGAGAGTTGGACAGTTGTTCTTACTAGACAGTTGGAATTTCAGTAGAGGAAAAAATAGCATTTCTCCTGAAAACCTTCAGAGACAGCAGGAAGCATCTTTTACTTTATTTGTCAAGGCAGATGTCACAGATGTTTCTACCACAGAGTATTTATCGGACTAGCAGAATAATCGCCTGTATTACCACTTTCAAATGAGAGAGAAGGGCTCAGAAAAATTTCTCTTCACCCATATTTAGCAATGTCTTGCAAGAGGTAACTGTTACAAAGAGGATGTAGAATAGTAGGAAGCTTAAAGAATAGCAGCTAGAAAATGCCATGGTGAATTCGCACAGCCTCTGATAAAGGGTCACCTGAGCATTGGATTGTCTTCTGGAAGCTACAAGAATGGCGATTATTTATCTACTGAACCAGCCAGAGATTCCTTCATGTAAAGTGGGTGGGAAGCAGTGGAAGGGAAGCCAGACTGAGTGCCGAGGACAATGTCCTAATGCTATTTTCAGTGACCTCTTTGCATTGTAAGTCAGTAACGGAATATTTGGAAATCAGCTGCACTTTGTTGTAAATTGGCACCATTAGTATAATATGGTGCCGACAAAAAGCTCTTTTATTCGATAAAATAGGGAATAGTTAGAAAAATATATATTTTGTGAGTAAAGCATAGTAGTTTAGACAGCAGTGCAATGCCAGTACCAAGTTGCTATTTAGAAGGATTCCAAGTGCTAAAGAAATAGGAGAATGATAAAATGACAGGAAAATGGAGGATGAATTAGACTGAGAGAAAGAAGATACGTTTCATGGCCTGCAAGAGCAGACACAGGAGATAATGCCTAGTGAATACTCATGCAGAAAAATTCCTACATTTTATGTTAGATTCTTTTAAGAACTGATGAATTACGCTCTGTCAATGATTCTTACTTCATTGTGCTAAAAACATAATATTTCATATTCCTAGCTTTATTTATTTTTTACCCTTTACCAAGCAGAAACTATTCTGCATCCCAATTATCCTTGCTACTTCTTACTGCAGCAGATCAATTGCTGAGATTTTCCAAGATCCCTTTAAATGCAGATATTGCACACAGTGTTTGTTGTGGCATCCTCAGTTAATTTGGTTTCCTGTAGCATACTCCATCTCCTGAAGATGTCTGCCTCAGGGTTGCGATAATGTTCACCTACATGCAAGTGATTTGGATTTTCTTTTCTTTTTCTTTCTTTTTTTTTAATGATCTTCTTTTAAAGTTAGACTAGTTCTCTAAAATGACTGCACTATATTGTAAAATGAAACTTGACTATTACTGTTGGAAAAAAAAATTCTGAACGTCAGAGATCATACAGAAAAGTACTTGTATTTGCTACATATTTTTTTTCCTGTTCTCTTGGAACACTAAAGAGGTGCTCAGTAAAAAAGAATGTTACTTATTTAGGGTTAATACAAATTGTATATTTTACATGTTATTAATCATAAGCGATGATGAAAATCATAAATACTGTGACAATCAAGACTGAATATACCATATACCAATTTAGAAAGACAGATTATGGCTGCTACAAAAAGCGTATCTTCTAAATAATCCTGCATTGGCAGATGCTTATATGAAAACCCCCAACTCAAACCAAAATAATTTGTAATCGTATCTGATTGTGATCAGATTTGTACCCATGATGGTGCTCAAGTTTTTTGTTAAGTTTTTGCTAAAACTGAAACTCGGATGTAAACGTCTATCTATTAAGAGAATAAACGAATCTGTCATTCTGACAACATTGTTATTCTTAGTATGTTAACATGTTCCAAGTCTATAGTTAGTCTGGCAACACATGGCACAAAATTACTGTCATACTGATCTGTCAAGATGGTGAAGAGAATGTTTTATAAGTGACCTGACCTTTTCTTTCTGCAGTTGCCTTGTCTAAAGCTTAGATGTTAAGTTTTTATTGCCGAACACTGATAGTTTAACTTTATGTTTACTCTTTTACTGAAGTTTGGGATAGTACTGCAATATAAGTGTTCTGACCCAATTGCTGTGAAGAGCTAGATATCCTTAAGAATTTTGTTTTTCCAAATAAATAACCGTATTTGTTTTCAATTTAACCTATTTAATACAATTTTAAAATATATTAGCTGTGAAATGAAAGGAACACTGATGTATTGGATGTCCAAAAGGTTTTGTTAATACATACAGAAGATCAGTTTCTGTATAAACAGGCATAACTCGCACTCGGTCAAGGATGTACCTGTTTCAGTGATTTACCTTGATCAAGAGAGAAACAAGCCTGGATAATTAAAGAGCTTAACAGGAGTTGTATATACTGTAATTTATGTCTCTAATAGCAGATAGCATGGCACTGAAAGCTGAGACCAAGTAGTCTACCAGTGGTAACTTTTTTTGTGTCAGCTGCTGCCTCTACTGAATTATTTCCACATGCGTGTCTCCTACCATCCATCATAACCGAATTAGTATTTCAGCAGCAAGATACCAAAGCTTTGTCAGGATTACATTGAAAAATACTGAGAAAAAATGACTGAAAACATGAAGAAATGCCAATAATAGAGCAAAATAACATTTATAAACAATTATTTCACTAGCAGGCACATACTTGCACAATGTACTGGAGAAATAATCAAGAATATATTTGTGTAACAACAAGCATGCAGGTGTCTGTTTAAGAGTGCTAGTTTTAAAAAGATGCATCCTGTATTTTGGACAGCAGCATTATATATTTCAACGCCTGAAGGAAAAACTTAATTTCATTTGTATCTGGATGTAACATGGAAATATGTATTTGTGCTTCGTAGCTCTACACAAATTTCAACATGCAAAGTATTTACTAAAACAGAAATGTGATATTTATTTAAACATAAAGCTCAGAGGATGAGATGATCCTACTCAGAGCTTTCATTGCAATAAGTAATTCCTGAAAGCATACCTTCTCCACTGGTTATGAGCCAGAATCCAATTCTAAATGAAATGTTCATGAAGGCAGATATTAACAATATGTATGTATCTTTCATTGGGAAAGGGATGCTCCTCAGTTTTGTGAAGACAAAACAATAAAATGTCTAATCAGAATTTCATCCTCTCCTCTAACGCGTTTAAAGCCTGAACGTAACAAGAGAATGTAAAATTAAAATACATAATATGAAAATTATTTCAAGGAATGATTTGTAGATTTTTAATTATATTAATTTGAATTTATACAACATAGCAAAGTTGCAGTCATTTACATGAAATAGATCAAGACTGTTTATGAATTGTAAACTATGTCTTTCAGATTTAGTAGCTTAATTTGCCTTTGAACAAATTATGATTTCTGTTATCCTTTTTCAAGGGCACAAACCTTGCATCTAAGCAAGAAATCTGATTCAGTTCCTAGTAAGCTACAGAGGTTACAGCTTCTCTTGCTATACCCTTTGATTTTTCAAGGTTTCAGGTATCGAATGCATGGAGAAATCAATTCTGTTTAAAATAGCTGTTACGTTGTTTTTCGCGTTTAAAGCTTGTGAGTTCATCTTTGAAGCCATCTGGCCACGTGTCCAGATTAAGTTCATTTGCCTTAAACAAAGCAAAACCAACCCCCAACTCCACCTTTAAAAGAATATTTTAAAAAATCCTGATTTTACTTATTAGTGTTTTCTTTTCAAGTAATTGTATGAAGATGATCTACAGACTAGTGGTATTGGATTGTAAAACACTTTGGGCTTTATTATACAAGTGTCAATTTCAAAAAGGTAAAGGTCATTGTAAATAAAATATATAAGAGCTTTAGTTATATGGCTGTAAAGGTGTATCGTCTGTTCATAACATACTAACTTTTTTTCTGTTCAGCCTTTGGAACTTTGATAATTTCTTGTGTTTTTCCACCTTCCAGCTATTGAAGTAAATCTCCAGAAAGCCCTGGCTGAAGCCTCTGAAACCTGCACACAGGAGTGTCTTATCCTAGGCCACTCTGACAACTGCTGGATGCCTCCTTCTCTGACACAGTACCAGCAGTCCAACACTCCTTTGCCATCATTTGGCTTCCAGCAGGGCTGGGGCCGAGGAGCCAGGCCTGACGGACGACACACGCTTGGACGGCCCGTTCCCAAGGATGACACTGACAAAAGCCAAGGTGGGCCACGGCCCCAGTTCTACAACACCTGTGAAAGACACTGCGCCAGTGAAGATCCTGTCAAAGTTATTCCTCTGGCAAACTTCGCTGCCTCCCACCAGGCACCAGTGTCTGGGAGTAGCACCACGTTTATACATGAGCACCAGCTATAAATGCATAGCTGACAAATCTGCTATTTTAGGCTTTAAGTGTAACTGTATATAGTCACAGCCTAACACGGTTTCTAGTGCATACACAAACTTGTTGGGCTTGTGAATATTTATGTATATAGAATTCTAAATTGAATTTGAAAAGCTAAACCCTTAGTACTCAGTTAAAGGAAATTTACCTTAGTCCTTGGTAAAATATACAAAATGGGGAAGAAAACCCACAACACAAAACCATTCGAAAGAAAAATACAAAATCCTGTTCATTGCATTTTGTTATATGAGTCATCATAGTGCAAATATCTGTTAGCACATCTTCCCGTTGAAAGTAATTTCTTAGTACAGTTTGGGGAATATTACAATCTAAATATAGTAATATAGCTTACTCAAATCAATCTTCTCTGTGTTACTTGTTACAATTTATAACATGTTCATAAATTTCACCTTCCATTCCCTTAGCAGATAGAGATCAAGTGGGCAATTTTTCATTTGATTACTTTACATAATAGAATGAATAGAACCCTAAAATCTAATTCTGAGGAAGGATGGTATACCTTTCCTTCCAAATCTGTCTTTTACATTATTAAGAAGGAAAATGTATTCGAAGACATGACATCTGCTTTTGATGTTAATTTTTATTGGGTCAATCTACAAGTATTTATTTTTTGAAAGAATGCAATAGATGAAATGGAAAGCTTTTTTGACTAGGCTTTTCTGTGTGAAAGGTAACACTACAATCATATGATATAGCAGGTCAAAACTTAAAAAAATTATAAATATTTTTTTTTTTACTTTCCAGGATTTTCCTTTCTACAATAATGCAAGCAACAGTATGATACATATTATGCTTTTCAAGCTGTAAGTCTATTGCTAATTTTTTTTTCTTTTTTTCTTTTATCTTGTAGAGCTTGCTTTGGCTACTGTTCCTGTTAGTTGAAAATTACACGGGCACTGCTGAACACAGTAGGAAACTGGGTAGCTTTTTGGCTTATGTGATATTGTGGCTGTAAGCTGCTGGTGCTTAAAAGAATATTATAGTGATGTATATGTTTGTTTTACAGCTATAATCACCTATTGCAAGTATTCAGTAAAAAGTTCGCTATAATATTATTTACTTTACCCCCAACCTTTTATATGAAGGCCTTCTTGTCACTGTGGTTTAGTTTATTAGAGAATCACTGACATTACCAGCAAAGCAAGTAATGAATCCTGAATGGACGTAGCTAGAAATACACCCCAATTATATGATTTGATAAAGTCTCAAAGTGATGCTCTGTAAAGATTAGGTATGTTCTGTGTACTGAAGGATACGTCGTTACTGCTGGGGGGAAAAGCTAGTAGATTCCACAGTGGATGCAAAGGAATTGCTTTTCTTAGATGGAAAAAAAAAAAACATTTTTCTTCTAGTACTTTTTTTGCTCGTTAGCCATTTCATCATGTACAGTATGTGCATACCAAGAAATTTTTTCCTTAACAAAACTAGATAATTTTTAGTTTATTGCGACATTAAATGAGACAATCGAAGTTGTGTGGAGGGAAAAAAGACAGTGTATGAATATTTCCTATGGATAGAACTCTGTGTAGACATCATATTGTAACTTAAATCTGTAATTTATAAACAAAACTGTGTGTAAAAATGCTGTAATATTAGCTGCTTGTAAAATTTACAGAAGTTGTTGAGGGTTTCCAATGAATGCTGAAAGAGCTTCTCTTATGTGCCCAGCAGGTATAAGTAGCTTTATATATCGTTGTCCCCACTGTAAATTTATTCAAATCACCTTTAGATTTAATGTGAAAATAAAAGAAACTTGACTTTTAACCTACTGATAGGGTTTAATTAATGAACATCAGATTATCTAATGATGCGCTTCTTTTCTTTCTTCTTTTTTTTTAATGTATTTTTCAGTCATGTTTAGAAAAGATGAGGGACACTGGCTTCCAGTTGCATGTAAATCCTGGAGAAAATATTAATCCTTTGGCTACTGACACACAATAGCTGACACAACTCATTTCCAATTCCAGGACAATTAAAAATTTGACAAATTAATTCACACCTAATCTGCACAAAGCCCTCGGTCATTTGTTTTGGAGACATCATGATGAGAAAATTCAGCACTTCTTTTCAGAGATGCACGAAAAAGCTTATCTGTAGTTTACACAGATTTACCAACCATATTAATTCTGCAAAATTTAGAATAAGGCTGACATGTAATGCTTACTGTTTTAAGCAGAGGACTTAGTTTTTATTACAGAGGGCTGTCATAGCAAATGTTTACAGAATGGGCTGCTGTATTGGAAAAATCTTCATTTCCTCTCTGGCTGAAAATTTGTAATTGAAGCTTTTTGGCAAAGCAATTAATTTCTGCAATTTCCAATTTTCATAGGTAAATCATAAAGGAACAAGAATTAGATTTTTTTCCTTAGGCAGAGAAAAATAACAAAAAAAAATTTTGGATTTCAATGTTTAGTGTTTTTTTTTTCTTTTAAGATACAGAAGAAATTAACACCCTTTCTCCAAAAATCACAAAATCAGCCAACCAAAAAACTCCAAAAAAATTTACTCTAACAAAAAACAACATAAAGATGAACCTGATCATAGAAAGTGACTGAATATTATGTCCATGAAGACGTGTTATGATATTCTGACATTCTGTCAAGAAGATGCAGAATAACTGTAACTGTAAATACACATTGTATCAGGAGTTAAATTATGCCCTCATTTTTAATATATTACATATTACATATATATAATATAAAAAATTGTGCATTTGAGACAGTGTCTCTAAAAAACGTTCAAGTAAGTGGCATGTCAGTATCCAGGGGAATAACATTACTGTAGACTCTTTACACATCTTGCCATATATAGAAATAATTTATCTAGTACATAGAGTGTATATTTTTGTGTAATTTTTTTTTTTAGTCATTTAACTTATTTTATCTGGTGTGAATTTGTGGAGAAAATAATCCTATATACAGTATACAGTAAAATGGTAGTGACATGATTAGATTGTTTCATACAGTGTAACAACAAAGGAAAACCTTTGCCTTCCACAAAGTAATGTGTCATACCGTTTAGCCTAGTTTTTTTGTTTTTTTTTTATTCCCGAACCTGATACATGCTTGTTGCACCTCTGACTTCTGCATCAAAGATATGGGTAGTGGTGGCAGAAAGAGAGGTACTTTTTTCCTACTGTAAAGCAGCCAGTTAAAAAAAAAGATGAACAGACATCAAGCTGTTTGAAGTGAAATATGTTTTTTCTTCATTTTCCTAAACTGTGCTGTATTCTGAAATGTAACTTAATTCTACAGAGAGAATAATCAGGCATGTCTGCTAAGCCAGACACAGACTCCTGAGCACCTGCTCTCTCTAGGCTGTGAGCTGGCAGGATGCAGGTCATTTAGCTAATTATCATGGCAATGAGCCCATGCTAATAGGACCTGAGAGCTCATGAACGTTAGGTCAAGCTACATGTCACGCTAACATCAGGTATGTTGTTCTGAATCAGGCCAGGTTTTTTTTGTTTGGCTTAGGGCTGGAAAAGTACAGCACTTTGTATCATACATCTGTGCCCCCAGTGTACATAGATCTATTAGATTTTCTTAAGAGAATTAAGAGTTTGGTCTGTTGTATTCTGAGCAAGCTGTAATCCAGCGTGGAACCACATCAGCACCAAGCTGCCATTATTACCCTGCTTCCAGTGTGGTCAAGCCAGTATGCTTAGAGAAGTTCCAGTAACTAATGAGTAATTAACTCAAGGTTATTTGATTCAAGCTTACTTGGCTGATATTTAATTGATGCAGAGCTTATACATTTGAAAATTTACACCCATCTTGCCTGACTTTGTCTCCCACAGTTCTAGCGCAAGTTTTACTTTTCCAGCTTTCATATTAATCCTTAATCAATTATTATCAATTAAATTATTACACAGCCATTTACTGCCATTATTTTCTTGGGTAAATAGTAAGGGAGCGCAGACACAAAGTAAAGTTGAAGGCAAAGATTTTGTTTGGTATACGTAGGAAAACTGTGTATAACTTATGTTATCCCTAGTGAAAAGAGAGATTGATGATTTCTTGTAAATATTTGAGTTTGTATTTCTGGGAAATCTCCCTGCTCTATGGCATACTATAGGATCTGAGAGTGAGCAGCGTATGTCTGTGTATGGAAACAGCCCTAAGCACACTTTACAGATCATGCAGTTGGACATTATATGCCATAGTCCAGCAGCACTTAAAGTCCAGTAAATTTGCAGTAGTTCTATTTCAGGTTTCTGTACAGCATGTTGTCTTGTTAATTACAATGCTTATTAATAAACTAGATCCACAAAAGCAGTTTCTTCCTTTGCACTGTTTTCTTTGTGTTCTTGAAATATAAGGCTTTAGAAGTATTCTTCCAATTATACTAATTATATTGTCTCCCATTTTCAGCTTTCCAAAACTCATTTCTTTGTAAAGCCCCAAACTCTGTAAGAAATTCAAGAAAAGGTTAACTTCCCGTGCAGTCGCTTCATACAGCTCAGTTGCAGGCTTTTGGTGGCCAGTGGAACTATTCACATGCAATGTGTACACCAGTCTAGGTTTATATTATCAAAGTATCTTCCTTTTGTGTCACCGTTGTGTCACCCTAGTCCCCACCTTCTACTATGCCTCTAATGCACTTACTTATTGAAAATCGTTACAAGCCGGAGGCAGGAGTGTTTGTGTTTTTTGGTTTTCTAGAAAATAATTTTTTTCTGATTAAGAGAACATGGTTTATAAATTGTTGCGCTACAGAGATTATCCTCTCATTGTGAATGTGCTAAAATGAAACAGTAGTCAAAGGAAGGAAGGAAGTAAACTAAGTTTTATGTATTTCCTGAATGATTTATGTCCATATTAAAAAAGTAACTCTGCTGGTAGTTGTCTTAACATCCAGGCCGTAATATCTGCTTTTGATACAGTTACGGCTTTGTGCGTGTACCTTTCTTGTCTGCTTGACCATTTTCAAGCAGGAAAATAACACTCATTTTGGCATCAAAACTGTGTATGTCTCTTTCATGGACAATAAGTATTGAAACATTAAATGTTATTCTAAAGAATATATTCAGCCATCATCTTAAAAATGTAATTGATAAAATCTTCTAGAGATGGAGATTTTTTCCTGGTTTGGATTGTAAATTCTAAAGCTGGGCTCAAATAGCATTTCGAAAGGTAAACCCAGGAAGCAATGAGACCGTTTGGAATTTCACAAAGATCTGATAAACTAGCTTTAATAATTGTGCAAGACAGAAAGGGGCAGGATCTGAAGATCTGCATAATTTTAATATTGGTGTGGTTGTGCAGAATGCTGCAGTTTGCTGGAGTCCGTATTGTAACAGCCTTGTTGAAGAACTCTTGATTTCATCTCCACCAAAGAGAGATAGGAGGATACTGTGAAAGATCAGACACAATGAATTCCCCGTGAAGGATTTTACATGCATGAACACTATATCATTGAAGGTTTACAACACATAGTTGGTTTTCTGTGGGTAGACTTTTCTACAGCGTAAAAGATCCATATATTAGTTTGTAACATGGTAGTTTAGATTAAACTGTTAGAAGCCCTGCCAAGTCTTAGCGTGACTAAGTTTGCTACCTTCCCCATTGATGTCCCATGTTTTTGCTTTCCTCTCTGTGGGCAAGAGGGAATTCCTGGTGTACTGAGATATAACTTACATCTATCTGAGCAGCTAGTGAGGTCTGTGTAAATAAGGTTGATCATGCCAACTAAGATCTTCCCCTCGAAAGTGGTGTTTTTTGAATGCAAGTGAAAGAAAAAGAAGAGGCATAATGCTTATGACATAAGGAAAGCATCTTCCAGGAAAAAGGCTAGGTAGAGCTTGATAATACTCATATAACAGATTAGAAACTTGCAACTACGTTTCATATGACTGCTACAATTATAAAGCAGTGGAAAAGGACATTCAACAACTAGGGAGTTCTGGCAACAGAAGAGGACTATAGCATTGCTGAAAGATGGTGAAGTCTCTAAGTAAGACATTGGCTAATCAGTAAGACAGGAAGTAAAGCTTTGGCTGTAGGGTGGCCTACAGCTAAAGCACATTATAAAATCTAGTAGGATATTCTTTAAATCATAATTGGAATGTTATTTTCTGTACTTTCAGTGATTCATTTTTGCTCTACCATACAGTAAAATTAGCTGGACCAGAGCTTCAGTTGGTTTGACCAGACTTCCAAGTGGGAAGGACTATGAACAGTTCTTGTATAAGGGAAATTCAAAAATGGTAGGTAAGTAAAGGGGAATCTGATGACTATTTTCTCAAAGCATGCAAAACAGTAAGTTTTCCATTTTAACGAGTGTTTGTATCAAAACTGCTTAAATGGAGAAGCACAAGTTTGCTAGGAAATATTTCTGTCTGTGGTTAAACTTGGTGCCTGGCCATTGTCAGTCAGCACTGGAAATAAGGCTTTTTTACAAGGGCAAAATTGATGCGGATAATGAAATAGTTCAGGGTCTAAACCATAAAAGTGTGGGCTGCAGACTTCATTTCCACTTAAGGCACCTAAGATACACAAAGTGCATAAAAACTACAAGTTTGCCATGTTCACATGAAACTCTCGTCTTACCAAACAACGTACAGAGCTAAAATAGCAACTTTATTAATATGAGTAACTGCTAGTTACTGGGGAGTGTCATTGCATTTCTTAACTCATCACAGTTTTATGTTCAAGTCAAGTTACCATACGGTTAGGCTGCAGTTTAGACTGCCTGGATACCTTCTATAGCTAACCTTACAGTTTGTTTAATATTGATTCTTTCTCTCACCCTCTTTTATAAGAAAGGAAAGGAAAAAGCAAATCATCTGCCTTCAAAGTAATTTCAAACTAAACACGCACAGTCTGTATGAAGATGAGCCAAGACTGCATTCATCCATTTCGCAGAAAAAGCATATTCATCAGTGTAATTCTCTACCCTAGACATGCACTTCAGCATCTTTGGAGTAAAAGGCTATTCATTCTTTGAATGAGTTCATGTTTATGTTCCAAGGTGTCCAGGTCCTGACCTCTTCTGTGTGACCAGAAGGTTTCCCTTTGTAGTAGCCATGGAGGGCTTGCCTTGTCTCCTGCTTGGTATGTGGCCATGTAGATGGAGCATATGCACTGCTGTTTTAAGTCTGTAGACAGACAGTGTTCTGATTCTGCAGTAGTTCCTAGCCATGTAGCTATTCATTGACTTCTTCATATTTAAAAGGCAAAACTTTGCCCAAGGCCTCCTTTCAGTTGCACGTCACCTGTGAGGGTTAAAATCCTTCAGTGTATCTTCGTTCCAGATGCCAATATTGCTTAGCAAAAGCCACGTTTGAGAAATGCGTCATCTGTAAGTCGTTTTAAGTTTTGACAGAGGCATGAATGAAGTCTGCATGAACATTTCTTTCGACCTGGGCTTCTTCACAGCCCTCCCTGATAAGTCTAAAGATTCCTGACGGAAGCCCGTT